GAATGGGGGGGGGGGGTTGTGGAGAGAACAGAGTTGAATAAGTTCATCCATAGCAAATACATTTTAATTGTATAACTGATGTTTTAAAATTTAAGTAGAAACCATTAGGGCATCTTTCATCAAAATCACAGAATTGTGCCCTTTCAATCATTCTGAAAACAGTATCACTGGTACCTGATTCCCCTTTACATTTTTGGTGCAACATGCTTTTATGTAAAGATGGAATGCTTTTAGTTTGAAAAAAAAGTTTAATGCTATTTTTAGATGTACCATTTCCTGAGGAAATACCACAAGGTTCATTTGTTTGGAAAAGAAATGCAAGGCTACAAATAACAGTTAAAAGCCAAAGATGTTAAAATTGCTGAGGGATTTTTAAAGGAACAACGGTTACATCTGAGACTCTTCTGACCAACTAATCATACAGATAATTTCCTAAAGAAATTGAAAATAAAACAGCGAATCCTCTGGCCTGAAGTAGGTGGACTCAGAAGGAGGCTGTCTGTCCTATCCAAGGAACCAGGCTAAACAGAGACCGGGGAAGTATGTGCTACAGTGTCAGTTCAGCTTCTAGAAAGCACGTGACACTAGGCACACCTGAGCCAGCTCAGCTCCTGCCTCTGTGTTACCATGGTGAGACGGTGGGTCACATGCCCTCCGGAGCACCCATGCCCCACACAAGTCTTGCCATGTCTGTCTGCTCCACTTCCTCCACATGCCTGGCTCTCCCCTGTCAACAGGAATTATCTAAATAACTTTGTCCAGAAATGCCAACGTGGTCTGATTTCCAAAAACTCAAATCACCCCCAAGTCAGAAGCAAACATCCAGTCTATGAGAACAAATGGAGCAGGTTCCAAGCCAGTGGTAGGAGTCAGCCTCCAGGAGCTGTGCAGCTCCTTATAGATATTTGAAGCAAATGCTGTGATACAACAGGCTGTTAGGAAGTGGAATGCGATCCTAGGGGACATGTCTTTAATGGCCTATGTTGGAGGAACTGAAATGCAAACTTTGCAACCTCCCAGAGAGAGATGCCCTTCTGCTGCTCAAATGCGCAAATCCAGGCCCATTTCTCCTCAGGACCCACTGGGTGGGCCCTGACCTCTCATGTCCAGCTGTGGTCAGCAGCCTCCTGATGGGTGGGTCTCTTAGCCTCCACCTCACCAGTTCATCTTCTTAAAACTGTCCAACATTGAAGGAGAGAAATCAATGTTTACTGAGATCCTAGAGACAGCCCTGGTCACTCACAGGGCAGCCCAGCCTCCCTGGCTCCTCCTCTGCCCTTTGATTCCCATTGTGACTAGGTTAGGCCCCCACACTTGGCCTGGGGGTGCCTCTCCACTGGTGCCAACTCCCTTCGCAGCCATTCTCACTCAGAGCCTGGTTCTGGCAAGAGCTGCCCAAGGGAAGTTGTCTGCTGGCCAAGGGGCCATTTCCCAGGTCAAGCATGTTGAGGAAGCCTTGGATAAGCTAAAGTGAAACAACTTCTCCAGCCTCCTTTTTAAAAATTAAAAAAATTTCAATTACAGTTGATGTAAAATAGTATATTAGTCTTAGGTGTATAATAGTGGTTCTCTGCATCTATGAGTTTGTTTCTATTTATATTAGCTATGAAATGATCACCCAATAAGCTTAGCACCCATCTGACAGCATACATAGTTATTACAATATTATTGACTATATTCCCTATGCTGTATACTTTACATTCCCATGACTTTTATAACTGGTAATTTGTGCTTCTTAATCCTTTGATTTTTTTCACCCATCCCCTCAACCCCCCTCCCATCTGGCAACCATGAAAATGTTATCTGCATCTATGAGTTTGTTTCTATTTTATTTGTTGCTTATTTTGCTTTTTAGATTCCACATATAAGTGAGGTCATATGGTATTTCTCTGACTTGTTTCATTTAGCTTAATACCCTCTAGGTCCATCTATGCTGCCTCAAATGGCAAAATTTCAGTCTTTTTTTACGGTCAAGTAATATTCCATCGTGTATATGTACTACATCATCTTTATCCAATTGTCCATTAATTAGGTTGTTTCCATATCTTGACTATTGTAAATATGCTGCAATGAACATAGGGGTACATACATCTTTTCAAATTAGTGTTTTGGGTTTCTTCAGGTAAATACGCAGAAATGAAATTGAGGGGTCCTGTTCTATTTTTAGTTTTTTTTAGGAACCTCCATACTGTTTTCCATAGTGGCTGCACCAATTTACAATCCCACCAACAGTGCTTGAGGGTTCCCTTTCCTCTACCTCCTCAGCAACACTTGTTAGTTGTTGATTTCTTGATGGCCACTGTGGCAGGTGTGAGGAGATATCTCACTGTGGTCTTCTCCAGACTCATATTCTAATATGCCCTAACTGACATAAGAGGGCCAAGCCCAAATTTTCTTGAATATATTCAAGGCAGCTTAAGAAAACAGGAAAATATACAGTGTACTTTAGAAAAGTTTCCACAATAAATGCTTAAAAACAAGAACAATGTCTTGGTATCTTAAAGGGTCAAATTCAGTCATTTAGAACATTTACTCTGGCATTTTCTTCCCTCACATTTGCTGGGCTGATTGTGTGTGGACGAGGGACAGTGTGTATGTATGTGTGTGTGTGTGGGGGGTGTTTGAAGGCTGGTGTGTGTGTGAACCTCTGTGTATGTGTGTTTGAGGCAGGTGTGTGTGTGAGGGCCTNGTGTGTGTGTGGGGGGGGGTGTTTGAAGGCTGGTGTGTGTGTGAACCTCTGTGTATGTGTGTTTGAGGCAGGTGTGTGTGTGAGGGCCTAGTTGTATGGGAGGGCCAAGTGTGTGTTCGAGGGCTGGGTGTGTTGAGGGCCAGCGTTTGTGGGCAAGGATTTCTGAAGGTGTGTGTGCGTGGGAAGAGAAGTGGAGAGCCGAGAGAAGTACATGTTGGTAAATTCTTAAAATAGTTTCTAGGCCTTTGGATGCAGGAGAAGAGAAAGAGGCAGACACAAGGTTGGGGTGAGCGTCGGGTGAACACTGCTAACAACTGCAGTCTGGCCTCTCTGCACGATACAAGTCACACATTCGCCAAAACCTCACTTTCCATCAAAACATCCAAAAATAAGAAGAGAGGAGACAGACAAATGTTGATGACTATGTTGACAGTAAAGCACTAATTTCTTTTCCTTATATAACTCAGGATTCCCGTTTCAACCAAACCCACACACATGGAGATAGGCTGACTCCAAAACGCAGAGCCTTCGCCTGTTTACTGGATCATAAATCTTACCGAGGCTTAGAATGGGATTATGTGCTACGCGTGTGTTAGCGGAATGGCAGGTACAGTACTTGCATAAAAGCACTTAATCACCATTTTGCTGACCTGTGAATTCAGTGTGTTGTTATTTGGCCAACTGCAGGGCTGCCTTTGAATTTTAACAACAAAACTTATGTCTGCAAAGACATTTTAAAGCTTCATTCTTCGACAAAGGATTTATTTTCCCTATTAACTTTAGGTAAAATTTTATTGAAATGGGGATGATTTTTAAAGTCAAGATCTTTGTTTCTCATCATATCTCTGCTCCCCAGGGACTAAGCATGGTCCTTGTGGCACCGGGCTCTCAGGAGACAACCATCTGGGTGTGACCCTCCAGGCCTCACATGTGCTAAAGGAGAAGACAGAGGCTGGGGTCAGATGGCCCACTGGTGCCCACCCATAGGGGGCCAGTCTCTGGAACTTGGGAAAGTCGCTTCTTCCTATAGGAAAGGCACGGGTAGAGGGAAGGGGCAGATAACACGCTAACCAGCAAAGCAAAGGGAATTTCTTTTCATTTTTGAGGATTGTGCTGACCTAAAGGAGGCCAACTGAATGGGACAGGGGAATAGCAGGGGGGCCTGTCCAGGGCTTGGCAGGCTGGAGGGATGTGGCTGAGGCTGTCCCAGTAAGGAATGCCCATCAATACTCACATTTTAATTCAAGTACAACATTTTTAAGGGCAAGTAAAGGTGCAAGACTAGGATGAAGCCCAGGGCCTTGGGAGTGGCTGTCAGCAGGGTGGGCATAGATATAAGAACCCCTTTACCTGCTGAGAAAGTCTGCAGTGGCTTACTGAGGGGGCCACCCCACTTCCCAGAGAAGGGGACTCCAAGATACGGAAAGCTGAATAGCGAGGTCCCCACACAGATGGGGATCTGAGACCCTCTCCCCACCCTCCCTGCAGACAAGCTGGTGGCTGACCCAGCATAGCCACCTTAGGGAGGTTCTCCCCGTGGCCACCCCCATGACC